GAACATTTTATGATCTATCAATTTCTTCACAAAAAACCGTTTTTCCCGAACCGGTAGGTCCGCTCAGAAGACAAGTAGAAGGATGTACGAACTTGGGCAGTTCCATTTTTGGAAATGACAGCATGTTAAGAAAACACTGACTTTTATACTTTATCGAAAATCCTTTTGCATAAGACATTTATTCATTTTGTTTAAATAAGTGTAGAAACAAGAAACACAAGAGACATTTTTACAAATTAAAACAACTTTATTTTTTAAAAATCATGTTTACACCATATCTTTTTTTGACAAATTGAAATATTTGGAAATCATGATTCTTCCCATCTAAGGGTGATACAATGAGTTCCATACAGAGTCCTTGACAGCGTTTAATAATAAAATAAATACAATAATGTCCACATACATTAGAAGTTAAACTCTGAAGCGAAATCTTGTTCCAGCAAACATGACGATATTTCTTGACAAAGGATGTGATATCTTTTCCATATACTTCAGGCGGGAGTCCATAAGAGTCAAAAAATTCCAGAGTCTGTTTGTCTGCAATGTAGACAGCTAGCCAATGAGTTCCTTTTTCATCATGTTTATCCGTATTGAGCACCAGTGCACAGGGAAAACTTTGAATCGCAGGTATTTTATCACAAGGAAAAACACCCGCATAATATCTCAAAGAAATAGGATCTCGAGATAAGATTTGATGAATCTGTGATGAATTCATCAGTTTCCAAAATCGTACAGAATATTTCGAGCTTTATTGATTTCTATCAAATTTTCAAATTCAGCGTACACTAATAACGAAACAGTTTGTTGTAAGGGAGTCCCAAATTTTATTTCTAATCTTAAGTTGCTGTGTCGAACTAGATTTAAATGAGAGCCATCACAAAGGTCAGGTGACAGGTCGAAGCGAAATAAGGAATATCCTTTTGAAAATTCTGATCTTGAAAGGTAAAGTCCTCTGTCGTCTGCATTCATAAATAAATTCTGATAAGCTCGTATGAAATGATTTTTTGTCAAAATTAGGCTGAAGAGGATTATGAGGAGGTACCGGTTGACCGTCCACATAAACGCCGATAAAGTTCATATTATAATGCTTGAATTCAAAAGGAGACTTTTTATAGTTTCCGTTAAAGGCATCATTATCGACACATGCCACCACAATACGATTAGGCATTTGACCTATGAAAATATTGTCTTGAATAAAACTCATATTTCCCGTTGGAATGGAATAGGCTTTGCAGAGCACTCTATTAATGGGATATTTGGCTGTTGATTTTTCTAGGCTTTTGGCATGTCCTAGCACAACACCCGGACTGACTCTCACTTTTCTTACAAACAAAGAAGCTTGTTCGAGTAAAACTTTAAATTCACCTTCGCCCAATAAACAAAATTCAGGTTTGCTGCGTATGAGTTTAATTTTCATATCCACCATATTCAGCAAAAGTCTTTCCTGATGAAACATATCCAAGTGCAATCGGCCAATCATATCGACCGAAGCACTCAGTTTAAACAATTCTGCTCGTTGGTTGAATCCTTCATTCGGCTGAGTGTCTTGAATATCAAAAACGTTCATACGTCCTGCTGTATCTTTGAAAAACAATTCTGATGACAGTTGAGACGTTTTCGTATCAAAACCATGATTCAATAATTTTTCTATCATGGCTCTGTAAGGATACGTGTTATTACTGGTGGAAACGAGTCTTTCATTTAAGCTAATATCCACTTGAGAAAACATAGAATGTAAAAAGAGATTGACAGGTCCCACTTTACTTTCAGCCGTGATTGGCTTGCCATCATTTTTTAAAATTTTCACTTTGACGTAGAGTTGTGTCTGTGATAAGTCTAGGTAGTCGTCTCCGCTTCCAGAAACATTGAACTCGACAGGACTTCCTTCCGATACATTGGCTAATGGATGAAATTCAACCCACTGACCTTTTTCGATAACTGTTTGTGTGGGAGGTAACGAAAATAAATCCAATTCGGATTTTGCGCATTCCGGAGAATCTTTTAACAGAAAAGCCATTACGAGTCAAAAATATCACGTCGTTGCACCTTCCTGGCTTTAGACGAAATGAAGTGTTTGGGGGTTTTGCGCTTCCTTTTAAACCTTCCGTGACCAATCATCTCGTCTGCTTTCTGAACTGCTTTCCTCGCTAATTTTTTTGCCAGCTTCTTTAGATCTGGTTTTGAGGGAGACTTTAAAATTTTCTCCCGACAATACGTCGTTTGCAATTTGTGTTCCAGTCCGCAAAGCTTCTTTTCCAACTGTTTTGGCTCCACTCATCAAAAAACGGCATAGCACTGCGAAACAGCTTTGCAAAAAATCCACCAATACCATAACCTTTCTGTAAAATGGTTCCTTGATAGTAAGGTAATCCATTTCCAGTTTGAGCTAAATAATAATCTTCAAATTTTTTCGTGCAACACGTATAAGGCACCCGCATGTTTGATGCTTCTAATCTTGCATACACAATCCAAATGAAATCAATTTGCAGATGAAGGCTTCTTTTATAGAATTTGTCTCAGACGAAAATGCAACACAAGAAATACTTTGCCTCTTTCGAATGGTACTAAATCTCCAGAGTGAAGTCTTATGTCAATATGTATAGTCTGAAAATGTTGACGGATAACTGGCAAGTAAAAGGGCCGGGGGTAATGAACGTTCATGATGTCACCGTCATGTCCTTCTACGGTAACAATTTTTAACAACGGGGCTTGTACATCTCCCACAATTTGAGGCTCTACGAGATCGCAATACACATACATGACAGGAAAAGATACTTTTGGATCGGCTACAAAAGGACTTTGCTCGAATCCTTTCTAAACACCTGGCTCGAACCCTAGAAGCTCAGCTAATCCTTCATGAAGAATGCAGTTCTCGTCGATCTTAATGGTGACCTTTTTTCGTAACAGAATGATAACTGAATTCAATCTTATTTTTATGGGAAGGTATTTTCATGGCTTTTAATAAATCTGGTATCGTTTCATAACATCCTGGAGGCACTCTTCGACCTTCCAATTTTCCATCACCCAAATCAAATCCAAATAAATTATTGTCTTTTCGGACGTTATACCATGTGTGAGGGTAAATAAAGTCCACAAGAGATAACTCCCACTGACTATTTAAATCCATCGGAGTAGGAAGCTGAGTGGTAAATTGTGATATTTTGTTGTCTGGAAAAAAACGCATGGAGCTGTCGCTGATCAGTGTGATAAAGAAAGACATGTTTCGTTCAAATGACAGATAAGCAGAATGTACGGGCCTTTTTATACCCTTCTCACATCATCCACCCAAGCATTGAAGCTTTCGGGGTACCCCTGAAATTTCACAAAATATTCTATTTTCCCGCGACGTTTCCTCTTTTTTTAAAACTTTTTCTACGGGATAATAACCAGAGTCCGAAACCTTTTGAAGTTCTTGTTTGTAAAAAGTTCCTTGTATAACTTCTCCTGCTAGATCTTTCAGTTTATAGACAACAGGAATCCGTCGAATAATTTTACAGATTGTAAAAATTTCTCGTGTCCAGTTTTGTTCGTATCCTTTCTCAAAGAGCATTTTTTCTCGGCTGATGCGTACCGTATCCGTACCGTATCTCCAATCTTTAAATCTGAAGAAATAGGGTTTTGTACTGGTTGCTTACCATACAGCGTTTTCGAAATTTTTTCTTGATTTTGTAATGTAACGGATACTGGTTCTGTCTTAATACTAAGATGCCATGTATGGTTATAACTGGATATCAATTTATCTATCACATCAATGTACTTTCGTGTATTCATTTCGGTAAAGTATTTCCACATTTTTGTTTTTAGAGTTCGATTAAATCGTTCTACGACAGAAGCTTTGGTTGTATTATGTGTCGTGAAAAAGCGAACGTTTCTCTTTTTCAAAAAATTTTGAACTTGTTTATTGGTAAACTCTTTCCCTGCATCTGTTTGTAATGATTCGGGTGTACGTTCCGAAAATATCTTTTCGAAAGCGGATTGGATGGACACAGATGTTTTATCTTTGAGAGGGATAGCCCAAGCGTATTTCGAAAGGATATCTATACAGGTCAGCAAATATTTATATCCATCATTAAAAGAGGCCAGGGATTGCATATCCACTAAATCAGATTGAAATTGCTCGTTTAAGCCTCCTACGATGACTCTGTTCCTGGGAAACTTGTGCCTCAAAGGCTTGTGCAAAGTATAAGAATCCTTGGTTTGCAACCATTTCTGGATGTCTTTTGTTTTTACGCGACCTTTTAAAGCACGATGCAAAGCAGCAACACCCCCGAAACTTGCGGGGACCTGTGGATCCCGATACGTCTGAGACAGAGCTGCGTTCATTGCAACAGTTGTTATGATCTAAGCGTACACTGATATTCATTTATATATGTTTAACTAGAACAGGAAATAATGCCTGAGTTTCTAATAAGTTGCCTATATAAAGATTTTAGAAAATAGGTCTAACACATGTACAAGAGAGAAAATGAATGCTACTTAACATCTCAAAGGTTGAACAAGTAATGATATAGTATATGTTTAGGAACAACCATATTTATACTCTATAAAGATCAATAGGTTTGTATTCAATAGATATTTTTAAAATTTATGTAAGTGTTCATTACAGATTAATTCTTTTAAATAAGGCCTGAACCTGGAGACAGTCATGAGATCATTGTAAAATAAAATAACATTTATTGAGCATCCTAATTATTTTACAACTATTCATAATATTCAATACCTAAGACACCATTGGTAGTACAAAATGTGTTTCTTACTTCATCGAGTACATGGTTTAAACACACAGATTTATTTTAAAAGTCCTTGGTAATGTAGTGAGCAGGTTTCAGTAACATTAAATAGGGATTCTTCACCCCAAATATTTCCATAAAATTGTCTGGCGATGTCAACAGCATTGAATCTCAGAGCAATGGCATTCACAGTTTCTGTTTATGAACGAGTTCTTCACAGTCTATGCAGCTGGGGATATTTTTAGTTCTTCTTGTTGGTTAAGAAGCTCTTCAAGCGACATCTTTAGAATGGTTTGGAGGTCGTGCTCTTCCCATAGAAATGTCAAAGGATTGGGGTAGATTTTCCTCCTTAACAGGTTCGTCGGATACGCTTTCGTAGGCTTCACAAAAGTTCATGTTTTGATAAACGAGGTTGGTGACAATGTCACTGATACGGCTAAAGTTGGTCATCAGTTCTTCCCACTGCGTAGTTGTAATGCTGAGGCTACTTTTTTCATCTCCTTGAGCAGAAAGTTGTTTCAGAGTGAAGTGGGAATCTTTATACGTGACCACAAAGTTCTTGGGCAACTCCAGATTTAGTGTCAGCAGGTCTTGTTCCTCCACTGTCATGTTGGTTGCGAGAACATTCAAACACCATGGCTCAAAGTTCACTCCACGTCTTGTCGGATAGTAAGCTTTACCATATTTGGCATACTCTCGGATGTGCACAGTCACTTTTCCCTTGTAAATGCTGAGTCCCACAAAGACATTGTTTCCCATGTGAGTGAGCTCCTCTGGAATAGCCTCTTCGGTGAAGAGTCCTTTGCGCTGAAAAAAAAATAAATCGGTTAGTATATAATATATATTTTATATACATATAAATGGGATCACAAACAATATCAACTTTAATATACAAGTTTTTCGCAAATACGCACTTTTTTCTCGAAATGGGATGTTTCTTCTGCTTTTCTTTTGGTACAAGAGTTAGCCGATTCTCTTGGAACATCTTGGGTGCGGTCTTCATGGCTGAATACTTTATCGTTCAAAGGCATAGGTTCTTTCTCAAATAGGTTTTCCATCTGAAAAAAAGTAAAGACAAATTAAGCACATATTGCAAATTCAACTATTTTTAAAGATTAAAAATCTAAAAACAGTATATTTCAAAAACGTTACTTACTCTCTTGTTGGTTTCGTGCCTGATCCATTCGAAGCAGTGAAGAATGATTGTCGAAGCAAAAGCAGGTACGTACACTCAGGGCGACAGGCAGGAAAGAAATGCGGAACGTTGCTCGGGATAACTTTATACCGGGTAGGAACTCTTTATTTCATCTGAAAGGTGATTGGCTAAGAGACGGTGAGGTCATATTTCAAAGAATCTGATTAGTTCACAGAAAAGTATCCATACACCTCAGCGGAGGCGTACAAAGGTGTGATACGGCAGACGCCATTTTGTAAACAACATGTCCCAAGAAGAAATGGATGATGTCATTCCAAACACGTGGTTCAAGAGTTCGTTGCCACAAAACCTAAAAATATATATTCGATGCCACAAAAAAAACTTTGAAACATAAAATCGTTGCCACAGAATAAAAACGAAACTTTGATGATGTCATTCCATCACGTGATACAAGATGGCCCTGGTGTCGTCACTTACGGAGAAATTCAAAATGGCGGAGGACACCCCCGTTGCGTCATCCTTTGTTCTATTACGTCATGGCGGCGTCCTTTGGGCTTCCGGTTACGAGGGCTTATTACTTACGTATCTTGCATAACTCAAAAACGAGTAATCTCAGAACGTTGAAATTTTGTATACAGGATTGTTATAACATGTAGATGTACACCTCGTATTTTGATTGAAATCGGTGGTACCAAAAGTATATAAAAAATGCATATATATATCCACTCTGTTACTAGGCACAGTAATCTCAGTTTCTCTATTCTTATATGTTTTTACAAAAAGTTTCTATTAGCTAACACAATTACACTGACTACCAATAAGTATTTGGACACCTATGCAAATGACAATATCTGCGGTCCTAAGGTACATCACGGACTCCGCCGGTATATCGTGTAGGAAACAGCATCGGCTTTAGTCGCATGCAAGATGCCTCGCAATTCGGAGCTCTCTGATTTCGAGAAAGGTATAATTATCGGGTATCACAAATGTGGCAGATCCTTAAAGGACATATCTAGCGATATGAAGTACCCAAAATTGACAGTGGCCTATGTGATTAAGAAGTGGAAGGTGAGCGGTGATTGTCGGAATGTGCCCCGAGTCGGCAGACCAACGAAAGTGGGAGACCGACGAGTGCGGTCCAGAGAAATTCGGAAGAACCGCACCCAACCGATGGCCCTCATCCGCGAAGAGTTTCAACAGGCATCCAGGAGTATTGTTTCAACGAATACCATCCGTAAGGAAGCACATCTGCTTGGTTTTTATGGTCGTGCTGCTGCCCATAAGCTTTTGATCACAAAGTCCAACCGCGCTGCTCGGTTAATGTGGTGCGAAGCACATCGAAATTGGACCCTAGATCAGTGGAAACGGGTTCTTTGGAGTGACGAATCAAGGTTCATCCTTTACCGTTCGGATGGCAGGGCCTGGGTCTGGCGTCTACCTGGAGAACGTCTCCTGCCAGAATGCATTGTGCCAACAGTTCGGAGGAGGTGGAATTATGGTCTGGGGTGTTTCTCCTGGTATGGGCTGGGACCCTTGGCCCCCATTCATGGTAAGCTCAACTCCGATGCATACTGCACTATTTTGGATGACAATGTGCTTCCTACGTTGTGGCAGTTTTACGGGTTGGACCTCTGTTACTTTCAGGACGACAATGCCAGTTGTCATGTTTCGACGTTAACCAAGGCTTGGTATGCTGCCAATGGAGTTCATCGAATGGACTGGCCTGCCCAGAGTCCAGACCTGAACCCTATCGAGAACCTCTGGGACGAGTTGCATCGCCAAATTCAGGGGTGCACTACCCCTGCAAAATCGGTGAAGGAACTTCTATGTCTTCTCCAAGCCGAGTGGAAGAAAATACCACTAGCTGTCATACAAAGACTTGTGGAAAGTATGCCCCGGAGGGTCCACGCTGTAATTACCTCTCGTGGAGGCTCTACCAACCATTGATTTTGAATAAAGTTAGTTTTTCTTTTCTATCCCAGGTGTCAAAATACTTATTGGTAGTCAGTGCATTATAGATACTGAAATGGGACAAAAAAGTACTCACAAGTAAGGCCTTTCAACAAGAGAATGAAGATATCATTCACCCAATGACACGATTTGGATTATTTTATGATCTTGAGTTTCCTTCTTGTGGCGAAATAGACGTTTTTACAGATGGTTCTGGAATGGATGGGGGAGTGGGTAGCGCTGTGGTAATTTATTTTCATGGAGTGGAAATAGACAATGTGAGAATGCAACTTAAACCAATGAAACCAGTTTATCAAGCAGAACTATACGCATTGACAGAGACTTTGAATTGGATTAATAAAAAATTAACAGTTTGATGTTTTATAAATATTTATTCTGATGCCCTATTCTGCGCTTCAGGCACTCGCCCAACCAGATCATAAAAATCGTCTAATTAATGAAATAAAAGACTTAGGCTGAAAGAAAGCATTATTAAATTACACTGGGTGAAAGCACACAGTGGAATTGTCGGAAATGAAAAAGCGGACACCCTTGCTAAAAGGGCGATACTTGGGGATGGGACCGATAATTTTGATATCCAAGATTCCCCCCTCCCCGAGAAAAAGATCATTGCTGAAATGGAAAACTGGATTGAATTTTTACTGGGAGTCGTTTAATAAGAAAAAAGAGTTAATGAAAAATATATAAAGTTAAACAAGAAGATGAATTTTATAAATAATGTTGATATCAATCAGGTACTGACTAATCGTGGACGTTTCCCGGCTTATTTTAATCGGTTCCATCTACAGAATAATGATAAATGCTTAATTTGTGATACGTTTGGGGACGTCAGACACTTCGCCGATGGATGTACGCTTACAAGGAGTGCAAGAGAGAAATATAGAAAGAATTTTAAGGAAGATTTTAAAAAGGACTATTCAAATTTGAAAGATTTTGAAAAGACAATAATGAAGATTATAAATACGAACAACGATAGTTGGAATTTGGCACCGAGACACAGATTTTAAACTTTATATACTATTTTTTCCTTATATTTGATTTTTCCTGGCCAGTCCCATTTTTTGATCATACGGCCGGCTTGTGTCGGCTAGGAGGATCGGGGCTGTGCCCTTATAATAATAATAATGTTTGTAAATTGTGCATTTTTTGCTTTAAAAATGAATTATGTTGTTATCTTCCGGTTAAGGGTTTTACGCCTTTAGTAAAACTGCATGCAATAATTTTAGAATTATCACCAATTTAAAAGTTGTTTACGTGCCGCTAAGCCTAATTATTTTTGCCATGGCGGCCATTGCTTGTTTACATTTGAAGCGGCAGAATAGTAGATTTGTTGCCAGTCTAGAGGAAGTAAGCTTCGCAATAACAAAGATAACGTCTTTTTTATTACTGCGAATTAAATCATGCTTAATCCATTCTGGAATGTATTCTAGGAAGTGAGTGTTATTTAAGATTTACTTTATAATTTTCAATACAGATATTTTGAGTTTTTATGTATTTTTGCCTTCTCGCGAAGTGAAAACTGAATTAATTGAATGAGAAATACTGAATCGTCTGTGAAAAACAGTTTCTTCTTTTTGTTGCTGTTGTTTGCTCAATTTCTTTTATACATCGTTTTAGATTTATTATAGTATTTAAATATAACATTAAATATATTACAAGATTATTTATATAAATAGATTAGATATTTTAAATATATTACAAGATTAGATAATTCTTACGATGATGTAAATTTTGTGCATTCTGAGTTAAAAAATGATCCTCATGCAACTTAACTGTTTTCACGAAAATTTGACCCCCTTTCACGGCCACAGTATCTTCGCTGTCGGGTGGGTGCGTTCGCACCTTGATTTATTTACATACGCAATTGGCCTAAGGTATATGCAAAACGAGCCGGTTAAAATCCTAATGTGATTGTATACCAGTATACCAGAGACTATTATGGTTATGATTATGTTAAAAAATGAATGAAATGTAATGCTGTTAAGTAAACTATGGTAAACCAACATAGTGAATTTTAAACAGTTTATTCTATTATGATTTATGACACAGATCGACGAAATAAATTTAATTCAATCGAATAAGTTTAAATGAAATGCAAGAAAAAATGCGTATAATTTATTATTCCGTATAAGGAAGTCATGGGGTGTACACATCAGATTTTTTAAATATATTACAAGATTTACAAATAACGACCGTTTATTAGGAATTCTCACGTGCTGTAAAAATTTATTTTATAACAACGTATATAAAATGACTGATGGATTGTAATATTTAACAAAAGTAAGTGGCAACAGTAAGACAGAGTTCTAAAGATTTTTAAAGTGTATGGAATTAAAGAATTGTAGTTTTATAGAGTTGGACGAAGCGGATGGAATGTCCCATTATGTAGCAAAAATTCTCCCCATATTTCTATGTTAACGTGATAATATATGTCTAAAATATAACCCTTTAAAATGCCCATCGCTTATTAAAATAAATAGCACTGTAGATTATGCAGTGATATATCTAGGACGAAAACTCTTTGCAGCAGGTCAAGCATATGTCGCCTCGAGTCGTGTGAAATCATTAGATGGAATATTAATTGAAGAACTGGACTGCTCGAAACTCACTGGAAAAGTTCCTCCTAGCAATAATGAAGCGTTACAAGAGATGGATAGAATGAGAAATTATATTCCACCATCAGCTTCATAAATTAGAATCGAAAATTTTTTTATAATGTTAATAAAAAAGTAACTAAAATAAAATTTTTCTTTGTTGACCTAAGTAGGAATTGACTTAACTTTTTTTTATATTACTTGTTTTATTTTAACGTCATCTTTGAAACACTAAATCAAGCACGGATTTATATTGCTACATTTTGTGAGGTAATCGTTTTAAAATGCAGTACTCGGAAATAGACCTTTGTGCGCCTCGTCTTAATTAATATGACATATCGCAACAAGTTTTCTGCTATGCCAAGAATGAAGGAAACTCACTCCATTATTTCCAGAAATTTCTCAGTTTGCAAACCTCGCGGCTGATATAATTTTTATGCAACCAAACTGTGCATAACGGAACATGTACTATAGAAGTGTAATTTTAACATCTACTGTAACGAGATCGAATAATAAACTCATTCTTGAAAACTCACTTGCCTTCTTATCAAGCACATTTCGTACGGAAATATAGATCAGCTGCGGGGAAGAATAATTTATTTAATACGATTTTTAATACGATAACATTTACTTACGTAATGTTCCGCTGACCAGCCAAGTAGCACGATTTAGCCCCAAATACGGATGGCCTTTAGAATTTCGCTGTAATGACTCGCGACTGGCGAGCGTTGATGAAATTACTGCCAACGATTGACGGGATAATACGAAAGTACCCTATTGTGAAACAATATCTGATGAAGATTTTAAAAATAATCAGTCTGACGACATCCGAAATATATTTAAAGGCCAAAATTTACCAATAGATCGATTACCAGGTATCAGTCCGAGACAAGGAGGTTAGAATAGAAGGAGGGAAGGTTTGCAGTTTCCTCCACTATCGGGGAATGAAACACCACCGAACAAGCGGCGTCCATGTTTGTAACTTCAAAACATTGCATTACAGCAGTGAAACGTACGTGTTTTTAAGCTGTTCCGTGCATGTATATTCCACTAAAAATATGTAAAATTTATAATGAAATACTTCGCTATTGTTAGTTTTTGTTTTAAAGTTATAAAAATGATATTCGTAATTTACTACGTATAGAAAATCATTAAGAAATAGTTCGAAATCTAAATGCATGTGCATAACATTAAAGCCTTTAAAAATAATGTTTCTGCATACTTCAAGAATTTGTTTAGGTTTTATTAGCAACCTGTTGGGTTTTTCCAGTTTTTCCTTTAAGAAGTGATATTTCTGATTTATTTACAATATTGTAATTTATTAAAGAATAATTTAAAATATACGTAACCTGAAATTAATAGCGGATAATTATCTAAAAAAATAGTCACATGTTGCATTTTTTTTAAATGAAAGTTTTAAATAGATTCTTTTCACAACCAACAACCGTATAACAACAAGAAAACAAATATTAATAAAATATAAATAGATTTATATGAATTCAGTGATTTCAGTTTATGCGCGTTTCATATTTTATGAATCTTAAAAAAATTGCCTTGAATTAAGCTGAATTACCGAAATATACCTATATTTTTGGATACATCTTTCCACACGTTCAGTTGTGTAAATATTTTACTTACTTATATCGCTATACTGCCCACAAATTTGTAAATTTATGTAAAAAAATGTTAACAACAGAGAAGTTAGTTTATCTTGATCAAATGCACAAATTATATTCTTAACAGTTCAAAAAACTTAAAAATGAATAATAATTAATACACAAAGAGAAGCATTACTTTACTTAACACCTTTACAATTCATAAAAATAGTAACAATTGGTGTCTTACTTTTCAGAAAATTATCAAACGAATTACCTAAAACTTTCAAATTATACAGTTTAAGTCCTAGCATACATCATTGTATGTTAAGGAACAAAGATGCCAGCTATAAACAGAAACATTAAAATGTATTTAACATATTTTGATTATTATCAAGTCCTTTTTTCACATCTGGAAATAAAACAACATGACATTGTGGTATTTTTTACCATAGTTATCAAATTACTAAAAAAAAAAAAACAAAAAAAAAAGAAAATCAATACTAAATGAATAAAGTAATCCCAGGAATCTTTTTCGAAATCTGTTTGTGCATACATATACAACACAAGCTGACATGCTTCAAAAAGAAAAGAGAAAAATATTGCAATTACAGACTTCCTTGCACAAGTCACAGCGATAACAGGAACATGGCCGCCAAGCTTCACCATTTGAGTTGAACGTTCCCTCCTTCTATTCTAACCTCCTTGGTCCGAGAGGATGGTAGCCAAGTAATGTATACTTTTGTATGTTGCGCAATTTTCGCGCGCTGGAGATGAGCATGCTTTTCGCCCCCTGTACAGTGTTGCCATTGCTCGCTTTGAAATAGTTAAGTTTGTTAATGAAAAATTCGAAAGTGTTACAAAATAGGAAATCTATAATAAAACAAATTCGGCATTCTAAATTAGGGCTTCCAAATGCCCATATTCGGTAGAGGATAACATTATTCAAAATTGGATGGCTGCAGGTATCGTTATTTTATCACAATACGAGAAACATACATACATTTATGCAGATTCTTCCTTATTTAATTTCTTCAAATATAGTACAGGGCGACAGTAATTTGTGGTAACGATTTGAAAAGTAATACAGCCTTTTAAAGTTTTCAACGCAAAATCGCGAAACGAAAACAATAGTCCTTCAGGGACAAAGCCCCTTTGGACTAATAATTTTTACAGAACCAAAGACTCATTTTTCTCTAATAAAGGTATACGTAATTGTCTGAGCATATATCCATAAACGCAAGCCATAATTATGTCTTGGGATATAATTGTAACCTGACATAACTGACCAAGACATAATTGTAACTCGAGTAGCATGTACTTTATAGCACATGCTCCAAACGTTTTAATAAAGATCATGGTACAACACGGCAGTATTATATATTAAAATGTACATAAGAACAAAGGTGTAACGCGCACGTCATGTAGAATGCACTTGATAGCATACTGTGAGCGATTCGAAAATTACTAGTGGGTGCTCTGAAAAGAACATCCTAAGAAACACGGTGCAATTAGTTTTAGCACGTCATGTATAATGTAATTTATAGCACTTTTTTTTTTATTTATTTATGTGCTTAGCTCGGAAGGCACTACTCGGAAGGGGAAAACCACGAAAACACCCATGCAGCCAGCCTGTTCGCGAGAATAGAACCTCGAACCGAAATACCAGTGTTCACTACTTTACCGCTCGACCGCTGGGCAGCCCTATAGCAGATATTGAGAACGTTTTAAAAAATACCATAATTCTATGTCGAAATGTACGCTATAAGAACACAGTTGTAAGACACAACTTTTTAGCGCATCATGCAGAGCGTACTTTGTAACATATTTGGGTACGTTTCGAAAAGTACCAGTGTTGTATTTTAAAATTTACGTCCTAAGAACACAGTTATAATACGCACAGCTTTAGCCCATCCTGTAGAACGTATTTTGTAGCACATGTTGAGAACGTTTCGAAAAGTATAAGTGCTGTACGTTGAAATATGGGTTCTGAAAACACGGTTATAATACGCACCGCTTCAGCACGTCGTTTAGAAGGTTTTTCATAGCACATGTTGAAAACGTTTCGAAAAGTACCAGTGTTGCACATTGAAAAAATATAGTTATAATACGTTCTAAAAATATGGTTATAATACGTTCTAAAATATGGTTATAATACGTTCTAAAAATAAATATGGTTATAATACGTTCTAAAAATATGGTTATAATACACACCGCTTTAGCACGTTGCTTAGAGCGTTTTTCATAGTACATATTGAGAACGTTTTGAAATGTACCAGGATTGTACGTTGAAATGTACATTTTAAGAAGAAGACGGCTATAATACGCACCGCTTTAGCACATCGTTTAGAACGTATTTCATGTTGAGAACGTTTCGAAAAGTACCAGTATTGTACGTTGAAATGTACGTCCTAAGAACACGGTTCTAACACGCACTACTTTAGCACGTTATGTCGAACGCATTTTATAACACATTCTACGAACGTTACAAAAAACACCAGTGTTGTATGTCGAAATGTACGTACAAAAACACGGTTGTTACACGCACCACTTTAGTACGTTCTAAACACACCCAACACCGTTATAGAAACGTTCTAAACACACCCAACACCGTTATAGAAAGGTATAACAGGGTCTTTGAACGTTTTCGGAAGGATCCGGTGCTGCTTAGGAAAGACTTAAAGCAATACATCATCAGAATGTTAAATTATGGAATCTTAGGACATATTGGAAACAAGAATTTCAGGATATCCCGGAACTTGCGACTTAAATAGGACATCCTGAGGATAACCTTATTTGAGCTTACTTTAAAGTACAGTATAACCTCGATTAATGAAAGCAACAAGGGGTAATCTCATAGAAAATTGAAATCCCGGTTGACAGAAATTAAATTTGAAATCATAACTATTTTTCCTGATACTGTTTACTTGAAATTTTAAAATTAAATGTATAGGTGCAATCTCTACATATAATGAAAGAGTTTGTGTGTGTGGGGGGGATCTTTCGTTCGTGCCCGCGAGTAAGCTAATACACCCAGGGCTACGAAATTTGGTACTTAAGTGCATCTGGGACAAGAGCCAGTGCACCTCGAAGCGATTTTTTCAAAATTCGAATCGGAATATTTTTATCTTATCTTTTTTGATGAAATCGCATCATTCTGAATATTTTCATTCTTTTAGAAATGTGGTTTTGGCAACAGTTTTTCATTCAATGATTTGTATACTGGACTGCCGAATGTTGAAAAAATGATAAAAACATAATTAATTATAAACGCAACACGCACTTGAATGATAGATTTTAAGGAGGAATATCTAAGCATTTAAATGTCCATGTCTACAGCAAAAATTCTTCATAAAATATTTAAAATAAACCGCAATTTAAAAACTTTTTTTACCTATACATCTCTTACATTATTATTTATTCGAGGGAATAAAAAAGTAAAATTTCGACTTCTTGAAGAAACTTTGAACGTCTCTCGTCCCCTTACACTCTGGCAGAGTCCATCTTCGAATCTCCTCCCCCCCCCACACGTTGGGAAACACTGCATTAGAGTGAAGTTGTCTGAAAAGTTTCAGATTTTAAATTACTTCCAAAGGGGCGTTTTTTTAACGTTTTGTGTGTTGCTTTCGTTTATTAAATATCACGTTCTTCGCACTTAAACCATAAAATTAAGTTCAACAGCAATATCGCAAAATAATTTTAAAATGAGCCTATCTTTAGAATTTCCGATACGCGCCTGGTGATAAAAAGGCCAAGTTTAGCACGCCTGGTGATAAAAAGGTCCCCCCCCGTAGAGTTTGCCATGGCTCGCTTTGAAATCTTTGAGTTTGTTAATCAAAAATTCGTTAAAGTTTTACAAAATAGGAAATCTATCATAAAAAACAAATTTCAAATGCCCATATTCGGAAAACGTACAATAACAAATTTCAAATGCCCATAAACGTACATTATTCAAAATTGGATGGCTCTAGCTACCGTTGTTTTATACCAGTGCGAGAAACATACATACATTTATGCAGATTTTTCTTTACTTAATTTCTTTAAAGATAATACGGGGCGATAACATTCGGTGGCAACAATGTGAAACCTGAATCGGACATTTATAGTGAACCAACGCAAAATGTCAAACGAAAAATTTTGCCCTTCTGGGTAAATTGCCCCTTTGGACTAATAATTTCGTTTCGAGGACACTCCAGGCTGGATATCTCTTTACTTTACATTCCCTTATCATTCAAACCCGGCATAATTTGAAGCGTAGAATCGAAATATGGAAAAAAGGAGTTATGCCCTTTCAGAAAAGAACGAATTTGGGTTCAAAAACCTATGTTAGAATACCATTATATATAGTCTAAGTGGCGCTTTCGAGATATGAAAAGCGCAAGTTAAAACGCAAGCCTAGAACATGCTAAAAATTCAAGCAGCCATCCAAACGACTAATTACGCGGAAACGAGCCTAAAGAGTAAAACATGCCGATAATTCAAATGTATCTTCTATATGAAAATAAGCAGCTACTAAAGATATGGAATTTTTTATCATAGTAAAAATTCAAGTGAAACTTCCAGACAGACACATCGGGGCACGTTCGAAACGCAAACGATTTTTAGATTTTTGCATAGCTTCTTTATCCAAACAAATTCCATAAACTTTCGTTTTGTATTTCTAGTTTTTTTTTTCGTTTTGTATTTTAATTAGATATTACGAAAATGTCTGACTCATTTTGTTGTATCTTTTCTACATTTAAATAAAAAGCTTAGAAATAATCTACTTTAAGATGACTGTAAAAATTTCATAGGTAATAATTCAAAATGTTTTTCGAAAAATGTATAAAAATTATTCAAAAATACAAATTTTAAAAGTAAATTAAAAAAAATGAGCGAATTTTATTTGGATGGAACCTAAATTTCGAACTGTGTAGAAAGGAATCAAAGAAATTCGTAAAAAAAGATATATTAATAAATACATACCACATTCAATTAACACTGAGGAGCGAAAATTTTGAGAGCTAATTTTGTAAAAAGGACTCTGCGATTCTTACGAAAAACCTGGCAGTTTGGCATAATTTGATTCGTAGAATCGATATATGGGAAAAAAATGGCATGTCATTTTCGAAAAAAGTCCGATTTTGTGTCAAAACACCTATATTAGGACAATGCTATATATAAATCTAATACATATCCTAAGTCGCACTTTCGAGACATAAACAACACAGTTTAAATTTCGTTAATCGGCCCAGTAGAACGGAAGATGTAAAACTCTTTTTTTTTTTTTTTTTTAACCCTCGCAGTGTACATTGCATTGTACCTTCCCCTTAGGCATGTAGTCCGCGAGGCTTTGCCGTAATCACATAAAGCAAATCAACCTTCCCTTAAATATCTAGAACTGCATTTGTTATTCTGGGTTATTTGAATACTGCAAAACCCACAAAAATTACTTAAGGAGAAGGACGCATTCACAGAAATTTTCAAAGAAGATGGCTAAAATCTACGTTATGCATGGAGAAAACCATGAAAACACCCCTCAACAGCAGGTTCGTTCATGGAGGTTTCGAACTCGGATCGGACTGCCAGTGTCCAGGAGTTTTAACCACTCGCCCACTGGTCGAAGAATTACATTGACGAAACACACGAATAAAAGCTGCCTAAGAACAAGAACGCCTTCGAAGAAAATTTTCTAAAAAGAACTTCCTCTTTATATTGCATGCGAAAAAAATTGGCAAAAATATCATACTGTCATTTAGGACCCACAGTATTTGATTTTCAAGTCAGTTCACAAAAGAGTTACATTGCAAAGCAAGCACACAAATTACACTTAAGTACATTAAATGTCTACTAAAAATTCTTCAATTACGACAAAAGATTTCCATTATTATGAAAAAGCTTTTCTCATATAGAGATATGTCAAGACACTGTCATGTCATGGTATACCTCATATATTTCATGACTTACATTAACCAGGTAAGGTTTCGGAAATATCTGAAACATGTTACAAACGAAGCGAAGTGTTATACAAGATAATTAATTGCCTTGAGAACATGATAAATGCAGAAACTATTTAATAATCAGAAAATGCATAAACAAATTCAGGACCTAGATACTTAATACAGTTACGCTCCAAGCAGTGGGTGATTCTGCACTTTTCCCTCATTTTGACACAAAAATCGGACCTTCTCTAAAATGACACGCCATTTTTTTCCCATATTTCGATTCTACGATTCAAATTATGCTTAAATATTAGATTTTGTAAAATCTGGTGCGAAATTTACGAAGAAATTCAAAAACACATCTCTGCGTATTTTTTTCAGTTTTCGCCAAGACTAATTTACTTGGCGAACTCCTTAATAGCGATGCAGGCATCCATTCAGTTATGTTTAGCAATTTTTATATAAATTATAATAATGATCTGAAATAGTTATTCTTATGCTTCCATTCAGTCATGTTTAGCCTTTTTTATATAAATTATAATAATAAAAAGTATTATATAAGATTAACTTTTCATCTAAATTGAAACATCAATCTTAAATAGTTATTTACCATTATACTTTTTTTTCTTGCGTTAGGGTTGCCGCAATTATTTTTGGCAGCACTGGCATCAAAAATAGTTTGGCGATTTTTTGCGGCCCTCAAAACTGAATAGTACCGTTTTTTCTGCTAACCCTTCTTTATTTTTGGTTAGTTATTTTATGTTTCCTACTTTCCTTTTGTGATGTTTTATCAGCATGATTTCTAGATTAAGTGAGAGTTGGAATGCTGATTGCATATTTTCAAGTTCTTTTTCTTTATACTAATTTTTTGTGTACTCGGGCTGTGGGGACCCGGTTTTAATGTGTGGTTTAGTTGGCTTTTAAATTAATCTTTTGTTTTGCTCGGCTAATAAGAGGAGGATAATAACCACGGATCTCTGGTTGCCATCGTTTTGGTTTGGAGGAGGGTTGACCCATTTTTAATTATATGGTCCCGCTGGGACAAGGCGGATTGGGTATCCTCGAATAGTTCACAAGCTAACAACTCAAATGTGAAAAAAATTAACATAATTTTTATTATTCACAACTTCTA